CAGGGGGTGGCTGTGGGCGCACGGCAGTGCCCGTGTCGTAGTTCGCAGGTAGGGAAGTGCCAAATACTGAGCTCTTTTTAAGTCTCAGCATGGTTTTTAAGGAAACCCTTAAAACTAAACTTGACGGAGTCTCAGTCAATATATTGGGTGCAGTAGTCTGATATGGAAAATTAGGAGCTACTTAAGACCTGTGGTTTACTGAAGATCTTTATATCTTCGTGGTATGTTATCTTAAAGGTACTTTGGTTTATAAAAAGTTATAAAATTTTTTTCTCCATGTGAGAATATTCCCCTATTTCGCATCCAATAACTTCAGAAAACACTTATATTTAAAATACCCTGTGACTTTTAATGTTGCCAGTTGTGAAACAGCATTAATCCACTATTGCAATTAAGGCTTGTTGGCTGGAGGGAGATCAATAAAAGTCATAATTTTAAAAATACCAAATGCTGGGAGAGGTACCTGTAGAGTATCAGCAAATTATAACAATTGCTCTTATCAAGAATTGCCCGATTTTTTTTTTTTTCCTTCCTCATGCTATAGAATTTGTGGTTTTGTGTGTATGTTGGGGTTTTTTTAAGTATCCTTTTTGTAAAGCTGCATTATAGATGCATATATATGTTTTGCTGGATTTGTCAGTAGTAATTGACAGATAATAAATGTGAATTTTATGGATAGTGCACAGTAAAGAAGAAAGTACGATTTATCTCTGTTTGTGTGATATTGTAAGTGTAGCAATGTATTGCCCTTAAAAACATAAAATCAGCAAGCTCTTTGAAGAAAAGGACAGTTGAAAGTATGTAGAACTCAGTGTGGTGTTATGATTAACTATCATGGTATTAATCATCATTAATCTGTTCTCTTAATAGAATTATCTTCACAGAAGAAATTTGATGAAATTAAGAAGGCTAATCAGGCTGCAGCAAGAAAGCTAGTTGAAGACCAATTTAGCTCCTCATCTGAAGATGATGATGAAGATGCTGAAATAAAACAAGGAAAGATTTTGGCCAAAACATTCACCATTTACACCAGTCAAACTGGTAATTTTTTTCATTTATTGAATTTTATGTTGGTATGAGAGCATAAACAATGCTGTAGTAGAATTTTTCCATAAGTGAAGGGAAAGCACTTTATTCTGATGTGTTGTATTAAAAATATTTGTTCCTAGCGATGCATGCTGGCAGTACTTCTTGCCTTTTTATGCAGAATCAATGCTATGGTTTTAAAACTGTCTTAAGTGCTTCTAATAATGTGGTTCTGTAGTAATATATGACTGGCCTCTGTTCAGAGAAAAAAATCCAGAACTTTTACAGCAGTCTCAACATGTACAGAATAGCAGATCAAACATTACTGATTGCTTTAAAAATCTTTATACATTAAAGATGGAGATGCAAGTGAACTGGAACGTACAAGACAGTACATGAATGAAGCTTTTCAGTCAGGGGCTATGACATGTCTGATCTGCATTGCTTCAGTTAAAAGGAACCAAGCTGTAAGTATTTTACAGTAGTCTTTTAGCAAATATAACTATCTGAATAACTTGTGTTTAGTTATATTACTAAGTTAATTCTGGGGATTTAAAGTTTTAGAGGGATAGAATACTAAATGCAACATTCTGCACCTTCAGATTTTTCAAACACTTGAAGAAATTAGTGCTTATATATTTATGTGGCTTATAATCAGAATATGTGTTTTTTGACATATGTTTGTTATCATCTTGCAAAATATTTATTTTTAAATTTTGGAGAGTAGCAGATGAAAAAAAGTGCATGAAAGCCAGTGCATACAATGGTGTATTCGATAAGCTCTGTTGTAGCAGACACCAAAACAAGAAATACTAGGAAGTTAGGAAATACTTTTGTTAGATTTATAGCAGGGGAGTGAAGATAAACTCTACTGCTTCAAATGGTGATCAGATGAAAGAGAAGAGTGACATGTCTGAGAAGATTATCTTGTTTCATATAGGTACATTTTTTTTTAATGGGAGAGATTTCAGGACAAATCTTTTTCAAATTTATTATTATGTGTCAACTTCCCTTTGATGTTGACAGGCCTAACCCTGCTTCTGTTACAGTTACTTGAATCAAATACATGTTTGCAACTCTATGTTTAACATTAAAAGAGTGCAGAAAATGCCTTAACTTCTTACACTGGATGTAGGTGGACTGCAAGTATCCAATGAAACTGTAGTCAACCTTTTTTTTTTTTTTTTTTTTTTTTAAATGCAGTATGTTTTCTATATGTTTAGCTTGATTTTAAAGTTCTGTGTCTCTTGTTAGAGTTAATCTCATCTCAGCAAAAATGAGATGATTTGGCAACTCGGAAGTTGTCTTTTATAACTCAGTGGTTTGTTAGTTATCGTGAATCTGTAACATTTCAGCCAAGTCTGTTTACTTAATGTCTCCTGTTTAATTTTAGCTTTAGAAACTTATGTCATTGACTTTGTCCTCTGTAAGTTAATGAGGAAATTCTCCTTGTTTTCACAGTATGATTTTATAGCAATGTCATAAGTTATTAAAAAATAAAGAAATAAAAAATTAAATTTTCTACTGAATTTCTCTTACCCAATTGTTACGGTCATTCTAAGCTGACAATTTGGTGTGGAAAGTACCAAAGTCATAAAACTGCATTTCTGTTATTTAAATTGCTGTTCAGCAGCATACTGATATTCTAAGCAAAGAATTGTGATTATACTCCAGAACTGACAAGGAGAAGTACACTGGGAACAAGAACATAAAGTTTTAGTGATGGATACAGGATCCCGGCAAAATCGACTCTCTCCTTTTAATTCTGTTCCATTTTATACCTCTCTTGCTGTTTGAACAAGAGACGCTGTGTTGAAAGCTATGCTTCTAATGAAATCTTTTTCTTGCTAGCATTGTATGTAAATCCTAAAGTTTGAAAGGCAGAAAAAAAAAGCTTTTTAGTACTTTAGTCCTACTTTGGGCACAAGGTTGTGCTACGTGACCCCCAACAATGTGTACATTTCTGTGATTATATGAGTATTTTGGGCTCCATAAGCCTCGGCAGAAACTTCCCACAGCAGCAGGAAAAAAGATTATAGATATTAATCTGTAACAGTAAAACTGCCTATATTAATCTAACAATAGGTATAATCTATCTTTAGAAACCTGGTTTTTTAAAATGGAAAAATAACAAGCTTGTATTTCTTTAGATGTTGTAGATGCTCATAAATGGAAACAGGGAGAAACCTTAATATAAAGCAATTGGCACTTATATCTGCTCTTTAGGTCTGGAGCTGTTGTGGATGCTTTTGTATATTTCACCTGGTGTGTATCCAAAAGTGGGCCAAGGACAGTCTTTTCCTTGTGTCTTCTCCTTTGACGGATGATGATTTTGGGAAGAAAGATTATCCCTGGCCATGGTGAGCTCTTCATGGTACATTTATAAAGATATTTCTATTGTGAAACATATGTGAACTGGAAATACTTTAGAAAGGAATGGTACCTGTAAATTACATGCACTCAAAAAGAAAAAAGTTTAGAAGACTGACTTTTCTATTGTTTTTCTGAATTATTTTTAAGTTTTCATTAACATGATTCAGTAATATTTCGCAGTGATATTTAAAACCTACTGCATCAAATTTGTTTTCACCTCTGAGAAGGTAACTTATCTGTCATGTGTCTAACCTTCTAATATTTATTTCTGAATGGCTTTACATATTTGTCACTTTAAAAATTGTCACTGTGAAATACATTTTAAAAAACATTTCTAAAATAGCAAGATTTTGGGATTTATTTTTTTATTTAGTCTCTATGTAACTCGAGCTTTAAAGCCAGTCTTGCGCTTTTACATGAGATTATATAAAGAAGGTAATATTGTGGCTACATGTAAGGAAGCTTGCTTTCTCAGTTGGTTTGTGTCTGAAAGTTCAGTCAAGGTTTCTCTGTGCATGTTTGTTTGGTGCTTTATTTTCCCACGTACTCTTATATGGCAACTTGTAATATCTTTGAGACAATCCTCTCCCAAATTTGGTTAAAAGTGCCTGTTGGATTCAAAAGCTCTATTAATGTGGGATCTCAGAGAGCAGGTTTGCTTAGGAAATAAGATATAAAATTGTTGACTCGCAGCACCTCAAGTTGATAATGCTTATTCTGCTACAAACTAGTCTTATGTTTAATCATAATGTTTATACTGAAAAAATTTCATGGCAAATGGTATTTTATTTGACATTCAAGCACGTGATAAGACCTTAAGCAGTTACTATGGACAAGTGGTTTATGGCCTGTAATGTATTATATAGGGGCAAATTGACATTTTATAAAAATGTGTGCATAGGTCTTTCAAAGCCTCTGTTCTTTTCTGAGGAAGAGCTCCTTGTCTGTTGTCTTTTCCCAGTGTAGCCAGAAATGAGAGCTCCTTTGTTTCTCCTTCCTTGTGTCGCCTCTTTCATCCATGGCTTGCACCTGAAAGGCTTTAGGGCCTGTGGCACTAACAAGTTCCAGACCTTTGGTGCCTATCTACCTTTAGGAATATTAAAATGTATTTTTTAATATCTGACACCATCGAGGATAACAAAGATCTGTATCTTATAGTATCTAAGATACTGAAGTGATACAATCTAAAATTTTTCAGATCAAATTTTAATTATTACGCATAGTTGTAAGAGCATAGTTAAATTTTGTTTTATATAGCTTATAAATTGCTACTGGTAAAAAACCTGGTTTTTAATACCTTTTTTGATTGCTTCTTTTTAAATAGGTTAACTCTTTGTTGCCTACATTCATTTGGTATTATTTGACATAAAAATTGTTCTGTGTGCTTGCTACACTGAATTTTTTTGTATATATTCTTAGAGAAAAAAGATTGCAGTGATAGGACAATTCTTTAGACATTCTAATGAATGTGTTGTAAAATCTGACATACAGTAAGACCTTTATTGTATATTATAAATTTAATTATGATGTTATTGGTTACAGTAGTTGTGAAAATATTAATTGGTAACCTTGTAACAGTCTTGGGAAATGGAAATGATAAAAACTGTTTCTCTTTTTAAAAAAATCTTCGAAAAATTGTTTTTATTTTCACTCCCTTTTTCCCTTGTTGTAGTCCAAAATGTAGGTTTGAGTACAAACGGTCCGAAACTCCTAGTAGATATTACTGTTACTGTGGAAAAGTGGAGAATCCAACACTGGACCCATGGCTGGTACCTCACTCCTGTGGTCAGATATGTGAGAGGGAATTCAAACCTTCTTGTGGTCATAAATGTTTGCTGCTTTGTCATCCAGGTAAATCCATTGCACCTCTTGATTGTATGACCTGTATTTATGAAGTTGTTACACAGTTTTACTTAAAATCTGATAAGTATATTTAAAATTCTCAGAATAAAACAGATGTAGTCAAGGCTGCATTTGCTGAATGGCCATTGGTGAGGTTTCTTTTTCCTGTGCTTAGGACCCTGTCCACCTTGCCCAAAGATGGTTACAACCACCTGTCACTGTAAGAAAGCTAAACCAGTGCCCCGAAGGTGCAGTGCCAAGGAATGGTCATGTCGCCTGCCGTGTGGACGAACACTGCTGTGTGGACAACACATTTGTGAGAATTCCTGTCACGCAGGTAGACCTGCTTTCTTAAACTTCAGAGGAGTAGTTGTTTTAATTGGTAAGATACATGTTAGTTTTGCAATTCCTAGTCTCAATGTCACTTTGCAATTACTTACAGGAGATTGTCAGCCTTGTCCAAGAGTCAGTAAACAACGGTGCATCTGTGGAAGACAGACAGCAGAAAGACTTTGTGCAAGTCCTCAGTGGCAGTGTGATCAGGTATGTTGAGGCTGTCCTTTTTAGCTTATTTCTCATCTCTATTCATTTTGATTACTCAGTGTTAAGGATTGGAAAAACTCGTTCAGTAGGAAAATAATTTTATTTTTTATGTTTTGAAAGTGCAATCAAAAATGTAAGCAGCAGTGTTTGAGAATGGATCTCCTTGCTGGTCCGGTTAATTTCTGACAGTTAAAATGTCACTTTCCTGGAATTGTGCTAGGGTTAAACTAGCAGTGAATTTGACCTTGTATATTCTGTTTCCTTGCACTTGAGGTTGAAATTTCAGCTGCTATCTTCAAAAATAACCATGAAACCATAGCTTAGTACATAAGAACAGAGTGGTGAAGTCCCTGCAGGCTGGAAAAAGGGGAACATCACCCCCATTTTTAAAAAGGGAAGCAAGGAAGACCCGGGGAACTACAGGCTGGTCAGTCTCACCTCAGTGCCAGGCAAGGTCATGGAGCAGATACTCCTAGAAACTATGCTAAGGCACATGGAGAATGAGAAGGTGATTGGTCACAACCAGCATGGCTTCACCAAGGGCAAATCGTGGCTGACCAATCTGGTGGCCTTTTGTGATGGGGTCACAACATTGGTGGATAAGGCTAAAGCAACTGATGTCATCTACCTGGACTTGTGCAAGGCGTTTGATACTGTCCCACATGACATCCTTGTCTCTAAATTGGAAACATGTGGGTTTGATGGCTGGACCACTCAAGTGGATAAGGAACTGGCTGGATGACCGCACTCAAAGAGTTGTGGTCAACAGCTCAACATCCAACTGGAAACCAGTGACGAGTGGTGTCCCTCAGGGGTTGGTATTGGGACCAGTGCTCTTCAGCATCCTTGTTGCTGACAAGGACAGTGGGATTGAGTGCACCCTC